CCTCCCCTCCCTCACCCTCTCCCCCTGGTGTTTCTCACATTAGTAGTTCTAGAGCTAAACCTATAGCCCGCTTTTCCTCACTGTTTTCGACAGCTCCCACGCATACATACGTCGGTACGGTACATTGCCGCAAAGCTCAAGCTCTGGCTCTGGCTCTGGCTCTGGCTCTGGTCCCTGAGGCGAGGACGAGGCGGCGACAGTTGCTTTCGGTCAAGGAACGGGACACGGGAGCTATCCTTTGCTGCACACCCTCCCAATTTGACCCCAGAGATCGACTTTCGTCCACACGTTCTCCCACGAGGTTAATTTACGTCTTCTTACTGGCTGCTGCTTCTTCGAGATGCCCATCACACTCGTCTTGAATATCCTAGCTCTTGTTGCTACTATCTCGGTCGTGATGTAGTTCAAATACTGCCCTTCCTCGCGCCTTGAAGGCCGTTGGGTTCTCGTTTCTCTCCAGAGCCAAGACAAGGCAATTCCAAGTCTTGAATTCCTCAATTGTCCCCGACCCAATCTAACGCGGGCCCTCGGCAATTCTTCTTTGCCTCCAGTATAAAACTTTTCTCCCCCGTTGGTGGTTAGCATTTTCGCTTTGCTCGTGGAATTTACACCTTCTTCCACCTAGCTATTCCTGCCTCCTCATAACAACAAACCCCCGTACACAATTGCTGGATTCCCTTGAATCAAAGCACCTTCACCATCATACCAGGATCTCAACCCGAGACTCCAACCGCCCTCTCTCAAAATGGTTCACAGGCACCATCATCATGAGTCTACAATCCCAGGCGAGATCCCTGTCCCGCACGGTCCTCCAGACAGCGATTCTGAGCAAATCTCAGATGAGCCTATCGCATATGCCACTGCTGATGAGCGTCGCATCTTCAGCCATGTAACCCGCCCAGACGACTCCTACACTGAGGACGGTGTCTACTGGGCTGATCTGCCACTGGCTCAGCGTTATCGCTTCGTTTCAAAGGTTGACAACGATGCTGCCAAGGAGGAGGCCAAGACTGCTTGGTCTATGTTCAAGGAGGACCCTCTATCACCTTTCTCGTGGTATTTCCGCCATGCTGTCATTCCTGGCGCCGGTCTTGGTCTGGAGGGTTATGTCCTTTTCTCCATTGGCAATCTTGAGCCTCTCTTCAAAGCCGTCTGGCCTGATTGCTGGGGCAAGGAACCCACTACCTGCTCTCACAATTGGATTGCTTCCGTGACATATCTCGAAATTATCGGTATCATGGTTGGCCAGGCTGTTGTTGGTGTAAGTTCTCCCTGTCCTTCTGTTGTTCCTGTATATGGTAAATTCCATTGTACTGACTGCTCGTAGGTTATGGGAGATTGGGTCGGTCGCCGATGGGGCCTCATTCAGGATGCTGCCATCATGTTTATCGGTCTGCTCATGCTCACTGCCTCGTGGGGTCTTACCCTTCAAGGCTGGGTTATCTGTTATGCCTGGTCTCTCTTCTTTTACGGTTTCGGTGTTGGTGGTGAGTACCCCATTACAGCAACTTCTTCTCTTGAAGGTGTTTCTTCTGGTGGAAGGATCTCGACTCGTGAAGATCGCCTGCACCGTGGTCGCCGTGTCACCACGGCATTCCTCATGCAGGGCTGGGGCCAGTTCGTGAACCAAGTCATCCTCATTGTTCTGCTCGCCATCTTCAACAACGGAAAAAGCTCGCCTCCCTACAGCAAGTCGGCTGCCCAGTATACTTTCCGACTGTCCTTTGCATTCCCTGCCATCGGTACGCTCTGGCTCCTCTACTATCGTACTTACCGAATGCGCAGCGCTGGTAAGCAGCTCGCTGAGGCAAAGAAGCGCTCCAACGTCACTGGCTATGACGTTAACGCTCTTCGCCACTGCTTTTCCAACTTCGGTGGACGTCTCTTTGCCACTGCTGGTACTTGGTTCTGCAACGATGTCTTCTTCTACGGCAACAAGCTTTTCCAGGGTCAATTCATCAAGGTCATCTCTCCTGACAGCAAGTCCATCTTCACTACTTGGACCTGGAACCTTGTCAATATCACCGTTTCCCTGGCCGGCTACTATCTCGCATCTCTTCTCATCGATAACAAGATGTACGGTAGGAAGATGATGCAGCAAGTGGGCTTCTTCATGTGCTTCTTGATGTTCGTTATCCCCGCCTTCAAGTTCGATTACTACACCAGCCCTGCGGGAATCCATTCTTTCCAGGCCATGTACTTCATCTCGTCCTTCTTTAACCAGTTCGGTCCCAACTCGGTCACCTTCCTCGTGGCTGGTGAGGTATTCCCCACGCCCATCCGTGCTACTGCCCACGGCTTCTCCGCCTGTATCGGCAAATCCGGCGCTCTTCTCGCTTCCGTCCTCTACAACTACATTGATGACCAGACCAAATTCTACGTCGTCCCATGGTTCGGTCTCGCTGGTATGCTTCTGACATGGATCTTCCTTCCCGATACTACTGGTCTTGATCTTAAGGAGCAGGAGCGCCGCTGGTACTATATTCGGGATGGCAAGGAGAGTGAATACCACGGTGTTGCTGTCAACCCTACGCATTTGTCTCTGTGGGAGCGCTTCCGAGGCCTCGGTAAGAATTACGACCCCGAGGCTGACTGGCGGGCCAAAGTCCAGGATATGCGTACCGAATGGGAGCTTGTCCAGGCCAGCCGCGGTCCCAAGGAGACTGAAGGTGCCATGCCCGATGACGGCGAGTTCTCGCCAGAGATTCATGAATTCTTCAAGCGCTCTAGCCCCAAGCACATTGGTCGTCGCGACGAGTCTCTCATGGTTGACCCAATTAATGAGAAGACGGCTGTGCCGTCTGATGATTCTAATTCGAAGTGATCATGTCCAAGCAGGGTCGTATTCGTAGCGAATCACTGCGTCACACATTTTGTTCTGTAGCAGTCAGCGGTTTATAGCATGATCTTGGCGTCTGGGTTTAATATATCATTAGTTAGTCATTCCTGATTTCGAAAATTAAAAGTTCTCGTACGATACAGGTATTATTCTTATGTGTGTAAAAAGGGAGAGGAATCGGATGAAACATAGGTCAGCCCAGACTTGGGCTTTCACAATACGTATTTCATGTCTTGTCTGGCCAATGATCAAAAAGGGTTGGTGACGTATAAGAGATGTAACGACAAATAATGGGTCAGTTGCAACTCCAAGTTACGCACTAGACTCAAATATCAATATAAATATATAGTGCCTGATCAAAGGATATGCTGATAGTAAAACAAAAATGCGACCAATGCCGCCTTAACTCTTGGTGGTATCTAGAATCGAAACTTATTCCTGTGGTGCACCAGGCACGTACTCTTAATGATGCTAAAAATAACAAAAGGGAAGGGAGAGCGGAAAAAGAAGAAGCAGTAGTAGATGAAGAATGAATAATGAAGAATCGCTTCACTGCCCCTATCGTTCAATATAATCCCAGCCGTCTCGTTCGTTCAGTTTTCATCGGACATCGTCGTAGTCCTGTCAATTATACAGCCCATTTTGCGGTCAAATGTTATTGGGGAGATCCTTGCAGCCGGGTTGGCTGACTTGATGTATTTGTGGTTGGCACAATTACGCCAAGCACACAGTCATCCAGATGTTCGTAGAAGTCTTGCGCAGTACCAAAACCGTTCTTGCATATGGAGCACCTTGCTTTCGTGCCTACTGGATCATCGCCCCCTGGTAGCCGGTGGCCGCTGCTATGGCCTGTCTGGTCAACTTGATGGGCAGCAGTTAGGTGCCGTTTGAAGACATCGGCACGAGTGAAGACTTTTTCGAAAGGGCTGCCAACACCAGGGCAGAATGGGCATACCATCGTTCCACGATAATGAGTAAGAGCGTGGCGATTCTTGTCGTACTTGCGCGCGAATCCTTTCGTATGGTACTCGCATGTTACAATAGGGCATTTCTCAGGCCGCTCTTCTTGGTGTGTAAGCATGTGAGAAGCCAGGTCACGAAACTCACGACCACAATCTGGATGAGGGCACCTGGTGCGATTCTCAGTAGGCCTTCGAGACGGACTTGCTCGTTCGATTGGTATTGATGGTTCGATAGAACTCGACGAAAGTAATGGACCTAAGGCAGAAATTGTTGGTAATGCATCAGGAATCGCGGGGACTTGTTGTGGTATCGGATCTCTGTAGTCAGCGGGTGTTGGATACTCATCCATGTCGTCTTCACCGCTGGAGATATGCTCTTCCGGAACATCGACTGATTGCCGCACTTCTCGCATCCAGTCCTTCAAAATACTCATGGATGGCCAGTCACCACTAGCTTTACCCACTCGATGAGGTCGAAAGTGTGCGCGGCGGAGGTGTGCAGCAGCGTTATAATATGCGCCATAGCGCTTTTGTGCCAAGCATGCTTTGCATCTTGACAATGGAATCACTGGTTGGGGGGCCGAAGGCATTTGGTTCTTGGGTTCTTTGCAAACCCATCGCTTGACCGTAGCCGAATGTTTGGCATCAATATGGCGACGTAACTCGTGGTCTCCACGGAAGCCATCTGGATGCTCATTACACTTGTCGCAGTACACGCGGCGTAAAGAAGTTCGACGAGAAGGTGGTTTTAGCCTTGACGGAGAGATTGGTTCACCTGAAAGTCGCCGGGATTCAAGGCGTGGTGACACATCGTCACTTATCATATGCCTGCGGGCACGTCCTCCAACATCACCTGGCAATGAGAACTGACCAGGCAAAGGAAAATCCGACCGCGAGCCAGAAGGTATGTATTGTGACGATGGACCTGCTGAAGTAAGGGATGGCGTAGACTTCAGGAAAAGCTGTCCTGCCGTACTCTCTAGTTGTGCTGTGGGGAAACCCCTCGAGCCCCTTAAATCCAACGATTGCCTTCTGGGCAAAACAAAGCCATTGAAGCCAGCATTAGGGATGTCCCCCACACCGAGATTCATAAGGAAATCAAAGCTCGAGAACAAATGCCGTGGTGGCCACTGATCTCGACGGATGATTCTTGCAATGTTACGGGCGATGGGGTCTTCGAGCTCAGACACATTAGACAAAGGATCGTTCGAGGCGGCGAACAGAGAGACCAGGGCTTGGTAGACACTTCGAATGACTTGGTCAGGTCGTTCCGTGGGTGTCGTGCTGGCCTGCGATGGATCGCTTCCTTGAAACGACAAGGCAATGTCAACCAATATGGTGTTAACAGCACTAAAGATGCAGATCGAAATGAAAACCCCTAGCCATTGCCTCAGGCCCATAGTAGGTAAAATAGAAGCTGCGAAATCCAGAGAGATTAAGTACCGTCGTGTGCACTCCCTCAAGGAAACGTTGCGCTCTGTAGACGGGCGACGATCAACAGGCGTGCGCGGAAGATAGGTGCCCTCGCTTCGTAGTAACTGACTCGGCTGAGAAGTATCGTAAAATATGATTTCGCGCAGGAGTTGCTTCACGCGAAAAAGTGAAGGATGTGTCGTTTGTTCCTCTTCCCGGGACATCGAAAGTTGGCCGCTGGCACTCAACAGCTCCAGAAGATCAAAGGCAGCACCCCGGAAACTTGGGCTAGAAGCAATGAGCTGCAGGACAGGTGGCCCTGTCCCTTGATCGTGGTACCCAGAAGCTAGAGGCTGATTAATACGCTCGTCAAGGCCAGGCTCTCCATCCTGCCACCAAAAAGTATCCTGAAAATCGAGCCTCCAGGCAGGCCTTTTTATGACCGACAAAGTGGGGTTCTGGGCGAGTATTTGATTGTTGATGCTCCCTCGCCGAGGATAAGAGGGTGTTAGTGGTGTTTGGGGTTGTGACCAGGCGAACGATCCTATCAAGGGTCAGCTAAAGCGGAAAGCTGGACAAAGAATCACCGGTACCTTGAAGCAAAACATCAACAAGAGAGGTCACTGATCCACGATAACATCCCAAGATACTCCAATGTACCTCGGACTCGGATGACGGCATCCCCGAACATCGGGAACAGGGGTTGTTTGCATCACACTAGAATGGTAAGCACTCAAGGTCACTCAGCAGATAATGGTATGACCTACAGGTCCGTTCGAAGCTCGACATCGAAGACACGGGTCGTTGTTGTGGAGTAGCTTCAGCTCCCCTATTGACTTTAGACGATCATGTCCGACGCGAGCTCTTTTAAGAGGAGGCAGCTGTGGGTCAGATGTGGTTTCCTCGCCGCTTCTTGACAGCGCAGTTTTGGGGTCCGAGAAAGAGAAGCTTGAACTGTGGTCCCTTCTTGTCGTCGCTGTGGAGGCGGTTGAGGGTGTCGGGAATGGTAGAGGAGGGAGATTAGTCGTTACGAGTGTGGTTGGAGGTTGAATAGGCGGTAACCGGTCCCGAGGCAGAGCACCGCTGCCTGTCTCTGGTATTTCGGAAGCATTCGAAGAGCTCTGGGCTGGCACAAGTGATCCAGATTCACCTGCATTCTTCGTTAAGTGCAGTCGAATGTGGTTGTCCCGTTCCAGAGGCGTCGAGAATCCATAGACATAGTGGATGCATTGTTCGTCCCAACACTTAAAGGGTGCCCTTGAGAAGTTGGTAATAGAAGTAGAAGCTGCTGAGAGGAGAGAGTGTGTTACTTGATCATGATGCGCAACATGATGATCGAGCCATGATGTATATCCTTGAGGTGGTGGAAATGGAGATGAGCTTTTTAAAGCGCAGGCAACGTCCATGTCTATACTGTTAGTTCTACCCATCAGATACTCTACAGGAGGTTGCAAGATAGACTGTGCACAACGAGGTTTTTCACTTACTCTGTTGCTTACATGCAGCTTCGAGGCATTCACAGCGGTACTGGAGAGCGCGGGCCTCCTCAGCTTCAGAAAGAGAGGGGATGCGTGATGAAATGCCTACAAAAGTGAGAATTAGATATGACTCGGTATATTCGCCACAGACTGTGGAAGATAAAAATATTGGTGACAGCGCTCCAAAGTGATGAAAAGCGGAACATAGCGTACCGTAACGTTCGACAAGATTTTCGAGGGCACGAAGTTTGTGCCGCAGCATATCGACCTCGACAATGGCATTGAGAGTAACATGTCGACCTTGTAAATTTTGTGACGGTGCAACTGCCTCCGACCCAGTGCCTGTATCAACCTGAGGTCGCTGACGTTGGCCCGCAAGATCAAGATGGGACTCCGGGTCGGATAGGCCCCGTGGAGTGTAGTCATCCCGGCTCATCTCTGGACCAGATCATCTCATCTCGTCCAGAGCCGACTTTTATGAGTTCCTGTTGAATGTGCTTGAGCTGCTGAGCATGACTGTCGCCTTTCCGGGAAGTTCGCTGGCTGGTTACTGTTCGCATCTGCCAGTGGCCATTTGTCGGTGGTACACAACAGAAGGTGGGCAGCCGTCGCCCGAAGCAAGAGACGAAGAGGATTAGAAGGAATAATTAACAAAACGAGAGCATGAGCCCCCCCGGACGGGCAATATCAAAAATCGATCCGGAGGCTCTCGTGGAGATGTTAGAAATCAAGACGAATGAACGAGCCAAGATTTATCAGAGGGCACGAGCGCACGACATTGCATTGTGCTGGGCCCTCACCCCCCAAGGCCCCGGCCATGTGTGAGGCACAGCGAGGGAGTGAGGGCAAAGAGTGAGCAAGGTGGGGCATAGCTCCCCCGTCACGGCAGATTTGGAGATAGTGCCGACAACGATGCGGTGCGGTCTCTGGGCCTGGATCCGTCTGGAGCCCGCAGTCAGCTAGGTATAAAGCGCGGATTGCAAGGGCGCCGCAGGGTACAGCGCTTTGTATTCGCTGTCGAACTTAGTTGAATACAGGAGAGCTTCTCGACTGAAGACTGGGCGGCAGAGTGAGAAAGGGCCGTGCTTCTCAGCCCATGTTGGCACGGTATGTGATTAGTTGTACAGCGCTGGACAAGTCAGTGCGAATATTGGCATGTCAGTATCGTTGGAGGTATCCCAGGGCCATGATCCCAATGACAGACAGCGGGGAACCACCCACCAACCGGGTCCTAGCAATAGCCACGAGTCCAGGCATGAGAGCGATTCCAGCACCACAACCCTGCGCGAGCTGTTCGTCCCGTTCGCCCTGCTGGCCCAGCTCGCCCCCTCGTCCGCATGCTCCATCACGGTGACCTTGCCATGGTAGCCTTGTCGGGGCAGTAGCCCCTTCTCGGTCGTAACCCTGTCATGGAAGGTGGCCAAGCCTCCCAGGTACAACGGTTATCGAGCGGGAGGAGCGTCAATCGACGAGAATGTCAAGAGCTGAGCACAGTATGTCCATCTGGCCAGCTGGCTTTGGTGCCGCCTGTTACATTTCTCGAGAGCCATTGTTTATTACGGATAGAGTAGAGAGGCTGCAGGAACTGAGACAACGTGGGCGTAGCTCAAGCCGTTGCTGTGGCTTTGCACCCACGCTTGTCATCGTAGGCGGTGCATGTGCATGTTGGCCGATCCTTAGCGTTGGTACTGTCTTTGTTTGATATTGTTCCTTTTCACATTCGAATTGCAGCGCCATGTCTCGCCGCAACGTGGACAGCTTCAGTACGCGCTTGACCCTCCATTACGTTTCATTCTTTCTATGGCTGAGAAGATTCAGTGGGGCTGTTGACTTTCCTGGCGGTACAGAGCTGCAAGAACAAGAGGACGTTTGGTGAGGCTACTTGACCAATTCCCAGACCCAAGGTAGCTCTCACTGCTTTGCTCTCGGCCTGGCTTGGCTGGGTTTGAGATTGTCCAAGGGAGACAGATTGCTAGGATGATGTGGCGAATGCGCCTAAAAGTTCCGACCGAAACCCTCGGGGTTGTCTAGTCTAATCTGGTTCAGAGTCAGAAATGAGATGACCGGAGAACCAAAGTGATAAAGCGCGGAAGATAGTTGACGAGCAAAAGGCCAGCAGCACCTGAGGAGGACCGTCACCCCATGTTCGTCCCTGTTGTCGACGCTACTGCAAATGGAGGTGTTGTGCTGGAGGCACCTGTATGTATGTATGGGACTATGCTGCTGTACTGAACATTGGTAGCGTGTCCGTCTTTATCTGTCTCCAAAGACACAGTCTTCCCTGCATATGAGTGATCGACTACGACCTTGCGAGATCAGCGGAAATTTGAGCGGCCTTGGGAAGCATTGATCAAGGGTTTTTATCTGTCTTTGCCGAGATGACATTGTGAAGCTGAGAGTCTGGAGACCATGGCTGAGGCGTCATGCTATTACCATATCCTGGGTAGTAAAGTCTAGTATAGCCGGGACAATTTACCCAATCCCATGGCAATGAAGGAAGCTAGGAGGTAAGTGAGATGGAGATAGTGAGGTGTAGTCGCCTGGTAAAAGCTGGGTAGCTCAGGTACCCCGGGCCTGGCCCAAGCTCTTTTTGGAGACTGACTGTCAGAAGTCAGAACCGGAGGGGCCTGGTAGACATTTCTCTTCAGGCATTTTTGGTTGCTATCCGAGGTCTTCCCCAATTCAAAGAGGATGACTGACTTAGGTACCTACCTAGGTTGATAATAAAAGTCGGTAAGCTTGTGAACATGAGCTAGGAGCGTGCAGTGTCACTGACAACCCGACAACGGAAGACGGGACGGGATTGTGGGTGTGGAAGAAGATTGTGGATGTCAAAGTCCATGTTGATGTGGATGCTGGATGGCGACAAAATGGACCATGCTCCTTCCCGACTGGAACTCAAAGTTTTGAAACCAGCGAAGGAGCCAATAGAAGAAGCAGCTTCTGGAACCCTGGACCGCCCACATCAACGGTTCTTAGGCAGATGCAAGGATGTTAGTGTTTAGCGGCCACGCATGCAGCACAAGTGCACATTCAATCGAACGTGAGTAGAAGGCATGGGCCAAACAGAGCAGGGAAAAAAAGAAAATCAGGGAATAGAAGCTTGGGTATGGAGTACAGAGTAGGTTGCTAGATACCGGGTAAGTTATGCCTGATGCAAGGTTTCAGAGACTCCCTATTGCAAAGGTGAACTGTTTATAATACTTAGTCTTCTTGATCACTTCTCTACTTATTTCCTCCTTGTTTTAAGGACGAACAGTCATTCACAAGAGAAATAATCACCAAGGAGGGTGGTAGGCACTATCCTAGGTAAGGTAGATGAAAACTGGAACACTTTCACCTGTAATTCCCTGCTTGCGTTTCCTGGTTTTTATCTGACCTAGGTACTAGAGGTAGGTACCAGGTATGAAGGAAATAATGGAGGGTGGCTAGGGTAGGGTGGGCAGAGGGAAAGAAGCCACGGGCAACGCCCAAGCGTCCCCGCTTCTTCAACCGTCCGTTGCAAAGCCACGAGTTTTGGAAATAACCCTGGTCGACCCTTCATCTCGTTGGTGTTCGAGGCTAAAAAGGCAGCCCATGTCTGAATTTATGCGACATTTACATTAGCATGAGGTATGGCCATGGAGGTAATTAATTCCTAAATTGCGAGCTGGGCTTCTGGAGAAAGACCTGCAGCACCTTATGTTATTACCGCACCTTGCCTTGTTCCCCCCTCCCCAGCTCGGCCTACCTTAGCCAAACATGGATTACCTATGATAAAGCTCTTGAAAGTTGAAGCCAGCCCATTCCTGGCGCTCGACGGAGCAAGTGTCGACATTTAATTTCGTTCTTCATCTCGATGACCTCAATCTCAAGGAAAACCTGCAACCAGACATGTCGTACCTATGCTAAGTATGGTACGGGTTGAGTAAAATAATCAGAAAACGTCCCCCCACCTGGCAAGTTTGCAAAAGTCACTAAACGACGATACCCTGGCCTCGCGCAGGGGGTTAGGAAACCTCAGAGGTTGATAAAGAATGCCAAAATAAACTCATCAAAGATTCTCCTAAGCGTAGTGTTGACTTACCCAGGTATATTCATCATCTCCTAAGTTTTATTGCCTTCACTTAGGTACTAAGGTAGCCTGGTAGGTATTATTGCAAGGCCATGTTCCCAGCTCAGCGGCAAACATTCAAATGCCCCAGCCTGCCCCAGGCTTATTGATGTGACACTACATCGTCAGACCCTACCTTGCTCCAAAGCGTCTCATGGTTCTCACCTTTATCTCTCATCTCCAATGCCAGCCACGTCTGCTGGTCTGCTTGTTCCATACGCCACACCATCCAGTCATACCTTGCTGCTGTTACCTGAATCGACCAAGACATGTACCTACTGTAGACAGCCGCCTGCCCTCCTCTTCTAGCCATCTTGGGACATCTCCCCGGTTGGCTAAGCGGGTGTGATGAACGCAAGATGCTGCTTCTGGTGATGCACCTGTCCCTCGGGTTCTGGCCTATGAGAGTGTAGCTGCATGTGGTTGGACAATGCCCGCCTTTTCCTGTCGGCCTAAATAATAATTAACATTCAAGTAAATTGACCAGTCCGAAATGTCTCGGTAATGAGGCAGAGCACGATGAAATCATATGTTGATGCCGAGTATTATCAAGGCATCACATCGACAGACCGTGGTTTTTCTCTCCCATAGATATGTGGTCATGTCCTCCATGAGGTATTGTATGTGAGAATGTCCATATTTATATTAGAAAGACCCATCTACTGCAAGTTCAATTATAATAGCTATAAGCATGCGGAAGAGACAACTCATTTATGACCTATCTACTCCTCTGGCTGCAGTAACTATCGCTCATGTTGAATGGCTTTATCCCTTGATGCCATCCTATCCGCTGTTGAGCTTTCTTTATATGGTCATAACATTGCAAGAACGTGCAACAATGACAACAAACAAGAAAAGAGAATGAAGAAAAATCAAATCAATGGAATGGGGTCGTGCCCAGCCCTAGGAATGGACGAGGGTGGTTGGCTGTTCGTCATGTACGAAGTAGAGAGCATCCAGGGAACGTGAGAAGAGGGGGGGGTCTGGGAAAAGCCAAGAACGGAAACGCCAGAGCCGTCGGTTCTGAGAAGCCAGACCTGGATCCAAAAAGAAACAAGGGCAAAAATGGCTTCCTTGTAACCGTTGCTCGTCGTGTCCGTTCCCATTTCCGACGCGCCTTTAATCGTTTCCCCGCCCACAGTAGCCACAGAGGAAATCTCGCTCTCGCTTACTGATTGACAATTAATACAGAGTATAGTGTCACTTGCTCCAGTCCCTGCTTCGATTGCCGCTATGCCATGCTCAGGTGAATGTCTGTGGATTCACCTACTCGTTGCACCACCAAGTCTTTTCCCTCAATGGCATTTCTTGGCCTGAAGCTTTTCGGCTGCCATCCTCCACGC